CCTTAAAAATATAACGAGTTCTCCTGTCAAGTGCAACATGCACCTGATTCCCTGTGATGAAATACACTGATAAATTGATGAGTAAAAAAACCTACGAGCCCCAAATTCTATAACGAAATCCGAACAAAAAGGGCAAAGAAGATGAATCGATAATTTAAACGTTTGAAACGTCAATCACAATTTTGAGGCAAAACCTATACTCATATGCGAAAAAATCCGGTTTTTGGAAAAGTTTGTTTTTCGGTTCATCTGGCATTGTTGGTCTGCATGGATAGAACAACACCGGCATTTTCGTTTGCACTCAAACACATATTTGAAAGTATCTGATAAAAAATAAAAACAAGTAAACATTTCCTTCAAAATAACTGGAATGGTAAGGAACCGGAGCGTACGAGTATCATATGATTGACATTACCTCCGAAAGCGAACGACCTAGGAGACTAGCGTGTAAACCAAAAGCGACGGTCCTCGTCCAAAAACCGGGCTCTGGCGGGCGAGAGTTCTCTCTTACGCCGCAGCATATCACTGCCGGAAGCTTGATTTGTTCGCCCGGACTCATCTGTTTCCGGAACAAGAAGGAAGAATGCCAACAGTGTTGCCGTATAATGCACGAAAATGAGCTTCGAAGTTTGTTTTTCTCAAATCATATAGAATTTTCACATCTCTGGGTCGGATCAGGTTTTCACCAAATCCAATAATATGATTTGTTTTCTGAAAGAAAATATCCGATTCCACACATCATTCAAGAGGACGCCCTGGATTGTATCGCACCCCATCACTTGTCAGACAAACAATTTCATGCAAACGAAAAAAATCGATGTGTTTGAACAATAAAACATCAATACACCCTCTCGATAAGTTGATGTATGGCGGTAACATAGTGGTTGTGCACGCCGTGTACTGATTTCCCGTTTTCAGTGATTCAAAATTGACTCTAGCTGATTACGTCATTTCACGTCTGCAATAGGAACAGAGTGTGAAAACCGAAGCATGTGGATTCACTGGAGCATTGTAACTAACATTTCTGCCCGGTGGTAGCATCACCAAATTATCACCCCCGGGGGATGTGTATTCGAATCCCACCACTACCGCCTGAATTTCCCCAAAGTGTGTGTGTTGAATGACAGCCCGTTGATTGGCCGCTTCCCCTTTCCTGAAAATTGTATCCTTGCAGATTGAATAAAAGGAAGTAAAATGAAAAGAAAAGAATCCAAGTATGCCTCGTGTTCCTCTTTTGAGTGTTGGGAATCAGTATGGCGTTTGTTCCAATCCCGGTTTCACAAATCGGAGTTGAAGTTCGTTAATGATACATCTGCCCCTATCAGCGACTTCTTCCTCATAGTAGAAAGAATAACTCTGCGGCACTGTTTACTTTCAAAATGCACCTGATTGGATCGAATATTGACTACTACCACAGGTTGTATGGGTTGCAAGAACACTACTGTGTAAATTACTTCAAACATCTTTTCTTCAAAAACTCCACCACAATATGGACGATGGTTTCGTTTTGGAATGGCTCCTCTGTTTAAACTTTTTGACCAAAATATCAAAATCTTTCTCCACACTTCTCGTTTCCTAGGTTTCGCATTGATATGTGTTCTCGGTTAACAACTTGTGTCATTATTCAATTCATCAAGCTAATAAAAGGTAAAAGAAATTTACACTTCAAAGCGGTAAGAACTGTTTTGAAGTCCACCCGGAGTGCATGAACCTGGGTGATAGAACAATGATAACTCAAAATCTCCTCAGTTTTATTTGTTAGAAACCCGCATTCAATCTCACACAGAGTATATCATTCAAGCGTGGAATCCATGGCTGCAACGTGTCCACAAGGAATGGCCAACAAAACTGTCAATGGACTGCATTACAAGACATATGTGACAATGTACTCCACACGGTATCACGAATTCGAAGGAACTTGATTTTGGTGTATCAAATAATGATACATCAAATGATTGGGCGTCGCAAACAGTGGTGCTTGTGCATCCACTCATTATTCTACTAGTACCACTCTGTATGACTTCTCCAGCTTCCGCCTGAATTTGCTTTCAACACTCCCATCTTTATTCTGCTCTTGTAATCAAATGGGGCACCGAAAGACAGCACCCAAAACCCGCGCGCGAAAGTGCATAATTACTGGTTATAAAAACTGAAACTGTATAAAATAATGCAGAACCCTCAGCACCCATGTTGTTCACTGTTCGCGTTGTCACCAAACACTCACCTTAGGGACACTCATTCAAATAAGTGCTCAAAAAATATCGACCAGAATTCCGGTTTCATTTATTTACGTTCAAAGTGTGCAGTATTTGGAATTCTCTACCAGCTCATATTGTTTCTGCACCCACTTTTTGGTTCTTCCAAGCCTGATGTGGATGAAAAATTTTCAAGTCTCTAAATTGTGACATCCGTCGCAGTGCACGAAGCAAAGAAAGTTTGTGACAATCCTTATCCTTCTATGAACCGCATAGATTGATCCATTTGTACTGAACAATATGGAATAAAAAAGGTTTCATCCGCTTGTCATATTCGACTCACGTGTTGTTAAGTCCCTTTCTGCCTAAACTAATCACGGTATGCTGCTCAGGTAATTTGAAATTTCAGTTTTCTTAGTATTTTGGGGTGTAAGTGTAGGTATTCAATCGTTCTACGGAAGTTTGAATTTTGGCATTCGTTCGCTCGCTGGGGTATCAAAGGGTGTTCTTATCAGCTTATCTATCTCCAGTGTAATAACTTCAAATACCTGTCTCTCTGATACATTTTTTAATAGTGTGATTATGCTCGCTAAACTTGATGCTTTGAAGTTTGTTGCGCGCCATAAATGTTTCGTTCTATCAGAGGAAAAATCACCTTTTTCATTTGACACTTCAATGTGATGAACTGCATGCGAATCGAAATTCATCGTCACATTGATCGATTGACTACTGTTCAGCAGATGAAAACAGTATGTAACACGCCTTGGATCTCAGAGGCAAGAAGCAGCCGAAGCTAAAATAGCAAAACCATTGACATGGGTAACCCACACATCGCTCACTTTATCTATCACTTGGAAACGCTAGTATACCACTGATGGTTCATTTTCAATCAATTATTCCGCGGACTATTTTTGATGCACAATGTTCCAACAAATGTGAAATCCCATAGAACAACTATATA